TCTGATGTGCACAGGGTGACTATGGGTCAGTACTGACTCAATGGCACCTAACAACAACAACAAAGTAGACTCAAGTTAAAAATTGAGGAGAAAAAATGGTTTTTAAGTACCATTATGAGTAAACTAGCTTGAAACAAAAAATAAACCTTCCAATTCACAGAAGCTTCAGCTTTTTATGTGTTCTAAGAATTAATATTCTCTGACCCCAAGGGGATGTTCCATCTAACAATCTCTCACAGAGCAATATCAAACTGGTTAGCTTCAAAGATTTGGTTGAACTTAAAAATTAGAGAAGTATTAGGAATAGACAAAGATGTCACAGCAAGCTACCAGGGTATCATCCACAGTTTTTAATATAATATAGTACCAAATGATACATCTCTCAGGTTGGAAAGTACTCAAAATATGACTCGGGAAGAGTGCCTTCTCAAAGTGGAGTTGACCTTATGACAAGAATGGAGTTAAGTTTGTGGGTCCTTCATTTGCTAATATGGCATAACTCAAATGATAAGAAACAGCTGCAAACACCCATTAATAATCAGAATATGGACTGAATGAAGTATGACTCTAGGAAAACTGGAAATGGTAAAAATGAAATGGTATGCATAAATATAGATATCTTAAGTATTAATGAGCTGAAATGAACTGGTATTGGTCATTTTGAATTGATAGTCATATGGCTTATTATGCCAGGAATGACAAACTGTAGAGCAATGGAATCAAATTCACCAAAAAGAGAGTATTTCAGGATCTATCATGAAGTACAGAGCTGTCTGTGATAGGAAAATATTCATACGCACACAAAGAAGACCAGTTAATACCACTAATATTCCAATTTATGCACCAACCACCAAAGCCAGTGCTGAGGAAACTGAAAATTCTACAGAATTCTTTAGCCTGAAATTTATCAAACATGCAATCAATAAGTATTGATAATTACTAGTGATTGGAATGTAAAAGTTGGACACAAAGAAGAAAGACTGATAGTTGGAAAATATGGCTTGTTATAGAAACAATGCTAGCGGCTGTATGATAACATTTTGCAAGACCAATGATTTATTCATTACAAATACCAAAGATGTCAGCTTGAGGACTAAGGTGCGCCTGACCCAAGCCATGGTATTTTCAATAATCACATATGCATACGAAAGCTGTGAATAAGGAAGACTGTAGAAGAATGGATGCATTTGAGTTATGGTGTTGGAGGAGAATACTGAAAGCACCAAGGGTTTCCAAAAAAACAAACAGATCTGTGTTGAAGGACGTGCAGCCAGAGTGCTCCTTGGAGGCCAGGATGAGAAAACCTCAAGGTCAGTGGTTCAAACTCACCAGCTCCTCAGAAACCCTATACAGGTTTGCTATGCACAGGAACCTACTCCAGGGCACTTAACAACAACAACTGGAGAAAAAATTGAAGTTGTCAAAGATCACATTTTTCTTGTATCCACAATCAGCACTTATGAAAGCAGCAGTCAATAAATCAAATGATGTACTGAACAAGGTAAATCTCCTGAAAAATATCTTTGTAAAGACTTAAAGAACAAAGATATAACTTCAAGTACTTCAAGGAGTGACTAAAGTCATGGTATTTTCAATTGCACCATGTGTATGTGAAAGATAGACCATGAATCAGGAAGATCACAAAACAATTGATTGTTTTGAATTATGGTAACAGAGAAGATAATAAAAAGTACCATAGACTACCAGAAAAACAAACAAATCTGTTTTGGAAGAAGCAAAACTAGAATGTTCCTTAGTAGCAAGGATGGTGACACTTCCCCTCTCATACTTTGGGGATGCTATTAGGAGGGACCAGTCTCTGAGAAGGACATCATGCTTGAAAAGGTGGAGGATCGCTGAAAAAGAGGAAGATCCCCAACAAAATAGAAAGATACAATGGCAGCAACAATATGGTCAAACAAAACAATTGTGAGAATGGCACAGGATAGCATAGCATTTCATTCTGTTGTGCATAGGTACACTGTGTTGGAATCTAACAACAATAACAACAAAAGTTATGTAATCTTCTCCAGGATTCCTATATTACAAATACATTTGATAATAAAGAAGTCTTATTACCGTATCTGATAGTTTAGTAGTTCTTTCTGTTCTTGATAAGAAAACAGCACATTGATTAGTCAAGTCAGGCAGTTCTTCAGTACTTCCATAGATCTGTAAATTCCAAAAAGAATGTTAAAAGGAGGGTGGAAAGGGGTATCATTCATTATTTTTATCAATACAAGTAACACTATTAATAAGTTTGTAAGAAAGCTCATCAATATTGTTCTATCTTTAATTAGTGACAAATATATACTCTTAAATATGCTAATATTTTTTAAATAGGATATGAAAGTAAGAACAAGTAAGTGGATGAGATACCAAAATTGAAAAATAGTTAAATCTATGAACTTTTAGGTAAGTGGCACAGATCTACATATATTATTTAAGCATATTAAGAGTGTACTGTGGCACTGTATGCCAGTATTGGACCACAAAGTCAGTTTAAACCATAGGCCTGTGGTTCAAACTCACCTGTGCTCCTCTGAAACCCTATACAGGGTGGCTATAAATTGAAACCAACTGTATGGCACTTACCAACAACAACATTGTTAAATTCAGGCATCAATTTTCATTCTGTTTCATAACCAACAAGCAAAGATCTCAATAACAGAAGAGTATCTGGTATTTGGCCAATCATATGGCACTATTTTTCAATAACAGATTATTAATATATGAAATAAAACTATGATAATAATTTAATTTGGTCATCTGACAATCCTAGATTAACATAATTTTTAAGAGAAATAGTATTTTCTTAAATATCAAAATTCCTTATACGCATTGGAGATGTAAATTAATTAGATAGACTGGGAATCTAAAAATTTTATTAGCAATAAATCCTTATGGTATACTCTTTCTGATCTATGATATAATCTACCATTTCTAATCCTTTCATAATTTAAAATGCATAACCAGCAGCAACACTTTTTGTATTTAGCAAAACGATCAGGATTTATTTTCCTACTTTTAAACACCTCATTGTTTTTATTATAAAATTTGATATTCATATTTCATATTTCAGAATGTGATACATACTACAAAATAGTTTAATCTCTTTCCTGATTTGCTTCTATATTGTTATTGTTGATGTTGTTGTTAAGTGCCATTGAGTCGGTTCCGACTCATAGCAACCCTGTGTAGGGTTTCTGAGGAGCGGCTGGTGAGTTCCCATGCCAACTTCTTCGTTCAAATCGACCTTGAGATCTAGTGCTTGTCCTACAGCGCCACACCAGGATTTCAAAGAAATTTCTCTGTTGACCCAGCAGGTTACTCAGGCTGTAAATCTTTGCAGGATCAGAAAGTCTCATCTTTCTCCATGGAGTGCCTAGTGGGTTTGAATTGCTGACCTTGTGGTTCACAGTCTAATGCTTACACTACAGAATCACCACGTTTCCCGCTATTATAATGTTGTTGTTAAGTGCCTGCGAGGCAGTTCTGACTCAAACCTGTATATGGTTTCTGAGGAGCAGCTGGTAAAGTTTGAACCACAGACCTTGTGTTGTTGTTGTTAAGTACCGTGGAGTCGGTTCCGACTCATAGTGACCCTGCACAGGATTTCCGAGGCTGTAAGTTTTAATGGGAGCAGAAAGCCTCATCTTTCTCCAGCGGAACTGCTGGTAGTTTTGAACTGCTGACCTTGAGGTTGGCAGCCTGACACGTAACCACTATGCTACCAGAGCTCCTTCCCACAGTGCCATAGGAGTATCTTTGAAACTGAGAGCTTCTTTAACCCAAATACTTAAGTTGGCATTTCTCCATTCTTTTTGGCATGTAATTCATAATTGTTGTTATTAAGTGAAATCAGATGATTCTGACTCAAAGCAAGGTTTACAAGGAACTGTTGGTGCATTTAAACCAAAATCTTGGAATTAGGAATTCACAATTTTTGTTGTTAAGTGCCATGGAATCAGTCTGACTCATTGCAACCCTGTATAGGATTTTTGAGGAGTGGCTGGTGAGCTTGAACTGCATACATTGCAGTTCAAACTGACCTGCAGTACAGCACATTAACCTGCAGCACCACATCAGGAATCAAATTCATAATTGTTGTTGTTGTTGTTAGGTGCCACCAAGTGGGTACCAACTCATAGCGACCCTATGCACAACAGAACAAAACACTGCCCAGTCTGGGCCAACCTCACTACTGTTGCTACGCTTGAGCCCATTGATGTTGCCAATTGGCCAATCCATCTCGTTGGAGGTCTTCCTCTTTTTCTCTGACTGTCCACCTTACCAACATGACATCCCTCTCCAGCAACTGGTCACTCCTGACAATATGTCCAAAGTATGAAAGACAAAGTTTGGCCATCTTGGCCTCTAAGGCGCACTCTGGCTGCACTTCTTCCAAAATGGATCATTGGTTCATTTGGCAGCCCATGGCACTTTGAATATTCTCCTCCAAAACCATAACTCAAAAGCATCAATTCTTCTACGGCCTTCCTTATTCACTGTCCAGCTTTCACATGCATATGAGGTGACTGAAAATACAACGGCTTGGGTAAGGTCCACCTTAGTCTTCAAGCTGACATCTTTGCTCTTCAACACTTTAAAAAGGTCTTGTGCAGCAGATTTGCCTAATGCAGTTGTCATCGTTTGATTTCTTGGCTGCTGCTTCCATGTGTGTTGATAGTTGATCCAAGAAGAATGAAGTCCTTGACAACTTCAATCTTTTCTCCATTGATAAGTATGTTGTTTATTGGTCTCGTAGCCAAGATTTTTTACTTCTTTACATTGAAATGCAATCCGTACTGAAAAGCTGTGCTCTTTGATCTTCATCAGTGAGTATTTTAAGTCCTCTTCACTTTCAGCAAGCAAGGTTGTATCATCTGCATATCACATGTTGTTAATGAGTCTTCCTCCAATTGGATGCCACGTTTTTCTTCATATAGCCCAGTTTCTCAGATCCTGGGCATACAAGTTTCTCTTATTCTCAGCATACAAGTTGAATAAGTATGGTGAAAGAATACAACTCAAAATTAAACAGATAAACGGTGACCTCGCGTGATGCTATAGGATAAGCAAACCACCAGTTGCTCCTTGGAAACTCTATACATGGTCACTATGAGTCAGAACCAACTTGATGGCACTTAAAAACAACAACAGGCGTCCTGGTGCTGTCCTGTGAGTTAATGCTCTGGACTGCAAAGTCGGTTTGTACCACAAAGTTAATTGCTTTCATAATACTTTTTTTTACTGTCATATAGGTGGTGGTGGTGGTTTGCCAAAGTAGATTCCAACTTATGTGACTCTGTATAGGGTTTCCACGGTTGTAAATCTTTACAGGAGCTGAAAGTCTCAACTTTCTACTGCAGAGTGACTGGTAGATTCAGACTATTGACCTTTTTAGCAGTCAAACTCATAATCCACCATACTATCAGAATGGCATCATATAGATGGTAGTAGAAATTAAAACATAAGGAACTAAAACATGACCCGTTTCCTTATTCACATATTTCCAAGGGAGTGAGAGCACAGTAAAGCTACAAATCTAAGACAAAACATCCCCAAAACGTACCTCACAGAAATGACCTGAACATTTCAGACATACACTTAGAAATCCTAGAGGACTACACTTCAGACATTGAACAAATCAGAGATAAATGAGGCTCCAATAAAACTGTAACCAGTACAGTTAATGATTACACTACAGTCACCTGTCACTTCTGTCGTCCTTACAAAAGAAAGTAGATAGTAACACTGTTTGAAGTCTCTACATTTTCCTAAACTATTCTGGCATCCTATTAAAATTATGGAGCATGACCCTCTACTCAATTCACAATAGAAAGATAAAAAAAATATATATATATGGAGCATGCTAAAAGACAGGCATAATCAAAAATCAAGAAGAGAAAAACAGGTAATAGCAATGACTCATAGGTGATATAGCTATTTGTTGTTATTATTAGGTGGCAATGAGTTGATATCCAACTCATAGCGACCCTATGAATAAGAGAATGAAACAAAGTCCGATCCATGCCAATTTCACAATCATTGCTACACCTGAGCCCACTGCTACTGCTTCCATGCCAATCCATCTCATTAGGGGTCTTCCTCTTTTTCTCCTACTTCCCACTTTACTGAACATATCCTTCTCCAGAAACTGATCTCTCCTGATAATATGTCCAAAGTATGAGAGACAAAGTCTCACCATCTTGGCTTCAAGGAGCATTCTGGTTGTACTTCTTCCAATACAGATAGGTTTTGGTCTTTTAGGAGTCCATTCTCCTCTAATACCATAACTCCAATGCATTAATTCTTCTATGGTCTTCCTTATTCACTGTTCAACTTTTACAAGCATATGAGGTTACTGAAAATACCTCACTTGCGTCAGGCACTCCTTAGTCCTCAAACTGACATCTTTGCTCTTCAACACTTTACAGAAGGCTGTGCAGCAGATTTGCCTAATGCAAAATGTCATTTGATTTCTTGACTGCTACTTCTATAAATGCTCATGGTTGATCAAAGCAAAATGAAGTCTTTGGCTACTTCGGTCTTTTCTCTGTTTAGATGGATGGTTTTTTATTGGTCCAGTGGTGAGGATTTCTTTTTTCCTTTATATTGAGATGCAACACAAACTGAAGTCTGTGATCTTGGATGTTTCTCATTAAATATTTTAAGTCCTCTTCACTTTCAACAAGCAAGGTTGTATCATCTGCATAATGCAAATTGTTAATGAGTCTTCCTGCAAACCTGATGCCATTTTTTTCATATAATGCAGCTTCTCAGATTATTTTCTCAGCATACAGATTGAATAAGTATGGTAAAATTATCCAACATTGGCTCACACCTTTCCTAATTTTAAACCATTTGATAGTCCCTTGTTCTGTTAGAATAATAACCTGTTGAGCAAAATTAAGTGTTCTGTAATACTCATTTTCCACAATGTTGTCCATAGGTTCTCATGATCCACACAATCAAAAAACTTTGCATAGTCAATAAACTACAGGCAAGCATCTTTCTGAAATTCTCTGCTTTCAGCCAAGATCCATCTGAATTCAGCAATGATATTCCTCATTCCATGTGCTCTTCTGAATCCGGCTTGAACCTCTGGAAGTTCTCTGTCAATGTATGCTTGCAGTTGTTTTTGTGTTATTTTAAGCAAAATTTTACTTGCATGCAATATTAATGATATTGTCCCATGATTTCTACATTCCCATTGGGTCACCTCTCTTTAGAATGGGACCAAATATGGATCTTTCCCAAATTTCTTGACACAGATGAGTGAGTGCCTGCAGTGCCACATCAGTTTGTGGAAGTTTTGATTGCTCCATCGTAATTGGTTGACAGCTGGGTAGACAAATCTTGGTTAGCAGGGTTGTTTTGTTTTTTTTTCCTTTCTTTCAGGGTTTTATATTGCCTGCATGGTTTCTGCTGAGAGATCAAAGCTTAATCTTATTTGCTTGCTTTTGTAAGTAACACTTCTCTTTTCCTTAGCTGCTTGATTTTGGAGAGCTTGACTATGATGTGTCTGGGTGATTGTCTTTTGGGGTCTATCCTTCCTCAGATTCATTCAGCTTATCTTTTCATCTTTCAGGATGGTAGGGGAATTTTCTTCCAGAAGCTTTCAACTATCTCCTCTGTGGTCTTTTGGGAACATTCTTGTTCCAGAATTCCAATAATCCTCAAGTTATTTCTCTTCATGTTGTCCCACATGAATCTTAGACTTTCTTCAGATT